CTGTGAAAGAGTATCCTCTACACGCATATGTGAATCTAATGTATTCATGTGTATTCTTCATTCAATTTTAATTATTAGGATTCTGCATATGTTTTCCCAGTTCATTCAATTAAGTTTTTAATAGGTTAATAATATGTCATTATATAGAAACAGGCAGCTTTACATTTTGCATGCTTATTTCATGGAACTACCACAGGTAATTGAGTGGTAATAGCTTAGAAAACAAATCATTCATTTATCAACAAAAATAAATGAGGGAAAAAGCAGCACATCATGCTTGAAATGTTGCTTGGTTTCATCAGTCTGAGTCAAAAAGTTATTGGCAAATGAGCCTGAAATGAAGAAGAAAAAAAACTAACTAACAAAAGAACCTTTTTTGACCTCAAATTTTACTGAGAAAGAATGAGTAACGTATTTTAATATTTAATATAATTTTTTAATTTAATTTATAACACACTCTGCAGTTTCAGATGCATTTTGAGTTCCTGAAAATAACTGCATTATTATTGCATTAACATGATGATGCTGGCATTTTTGCTCAGACCTCACAGAGCTGTTTGATTCTAAACTCATCTGATAATAACTATTGAAGCTCAAAAAGACCAAATCCTCAGACTCTAAAGTAAAACTTGTTTTGTTTTAACATACTAACTACTAATCTAGCAGGTTGTATATGTTACTGCATGTTTACTTATAAAGTCAAGTCTCTGTCTATGGTATGAAACTAATCTAATCCAAAGGAAAAAATCTGTATTCTGGAGTTTATTTTACCTTGTGCTTTGGAACTATAGATTCTGTGAACAACCTTTGTTTCTGCAGAAGGAAACTGTTTGCATAACTGAAGTGTGAAGCTGAAAAAAGGAGCGCAAATGTCAATTTCACTACCCCTTAATGAGTATCAGGGACTTTCTGTTTAACAGTGTTGTCTCTAATCTCCTCCGAGAGATCATCGCTGCAACACATCAGTCCCTAGTTTAATTTGATATTAGTATAACTAATGTGCTTGTTCTCACACATATGTTTCGACACAGCAGTAATTTAGATCTTCATAAGTTCTGAGTTGAGGTAATTACAGATTTCTGTGCTGGCTGTGCAGCTCAGAGAGACGGCCTTATAGACTTATAGACAGCTGTCCACCCAGCAAAACGTTAAAAACTGTCATTTTACAGAAGGGAAAAAAATTTCTGTATCATACTGAAACTATAGAAAACTATTTTGCATCCAGGGTGTGTGACAGATGTTCAAATTAATGCATGGGTCAGTGAGCACACACCTGCACCAATGGAGTCCGGGTGGAAATTGTACATTGCTGCTGTACAAATAGTGCCCTCTTATGTCAAAATAAGAGAATACACATAAAATTGACTCTGATACACAGATCCAAAAAGCAGACTGGACATCAATGAAAAAACACATTTTCTTTGTCTCCTTCTGGCCAATTGTAATTTTTTTTTATTCATTTCTGTTAAGGTTTTTATACATGTTTTGTCTGTCTGTGTCTCAGTTGCCATTTTGTGACTTTTGCATTCAATGTATTTCTTTATAGTGTGTTTTTATACTTTGGCTTATGTGGTTATTAGTTTGCTTATTTGCATTTCCTTATATTGTTTTATGCCATTTTGCATTTTTTTATATAATTGCGGGCTATTTGTGGTTATTTCATATTTTTTTTGTCACCATGGTTCACACTGTTTATTGTCTTTGCACTGAGTTACTGTGAACACCCTTCTTTTGTGGTCAGTTCTTCTCCTAGAGGTCAAAACACTCTAACACTGTTAAAATGACTGTTAGCATTTTTACCAATACTAATTTAACCATGATACACACTGACCAAGACACCAATCTCCTTATACTGTTTTACGTCATTTGTATTTTTTTACACGATTTTCTGCTTTTTGTGGTTATTTTAAAATCTCAGATTCGGAGCATTTCTGTTATTATTTCTTTTTCTATTTAATACCATTTAATATATCTGCACATATTTTTGTGCACACCGTCCTTTTGTAGCCATTTTACATATTTCAAACAACTTCTTTCCACATTTTGTATGTTACAGTAAAATCTGGCCTGGCTTTCACTCAGGAGAAGAGTGGACTCTACAGCAGCAGCAGTCTGAGTCTGAGCCAGGAGAGCTGGATGAATGGTCAGGGTCATCCATCATGATTACATGCAGTTAAGGTCTCTCCACAACGTGGACTAAAGATTAAATTGCACTCAACATTACAACCCTGTGACAAGAAACATAATCAAGATCAATTTCAAATAAAAGTAAATATATGTTTTATATTAAATGTTTAATATTAAAGTTTGTATTGTAAATACATGTATAATGTACGGGTATCCTGTTTGTGCGATATGTGAAGTTATTTTTTTACATTTGCATTATATTGTAAATGTGGAACACTTTGTGTCTTAGTCTATGTCTTAAATGTGAGAACTCTATTTTAAAAACTGTTAGAACATCTTATTATTATGTTACCTTATTGTGTGCAGTGCATTGGAAGTAATACAAAATGTAGAGAAGAAAATACAATGTGCTACAGATTTTTAAGACTGTAGTGCCACTTCAATGAAGATCCTTTCAGTAACTGACCACCAATCTATCACACAGTGAAGGTTATAACCCGTTATTTATTGTTTCAGTAACATAACATGTTTTAGTTTTGTCTATTCTGTATTATTGTAGGGCCTTTTCCTTACAATATAAAGCTCTCTGAGGCAACTGTTGTGATTTAGCTGTAATTTAGTGGATTATGTGACAGTAAATAATATGTTTCTATTCTATTAGTTGATCAGTTCAAGAAGAAAACTACATTTACTGTTTTTTAGCAGAGTTAAATCAGTATGTTTAAGCTTTTAGTTTCTTCAGTTGTATTTATATTCTTGTCTTTGTGCTCTTTTTGTGTTCACTGGGCCAGTAACTTTCATCACAGCCTCTGCACCAGCTATCTGCACCTGCAGCCTTCAGTCTTACTGAAGGAGGTTTTTGTACAGCTATATATCACTGTGTGAATGCTGCACCATGATCACCCAGACAATAATAATCTCCAGCATCTTCAGCCTGAACACCACTGATGGTTAAAGTGTACTGAGAATCAGATCTACTGCCACTGAATCGTGACGGAGTTCCTGAGGAGCGAGTTGATGCTGTGTATATAAGTAGTTTGGGAGGCTGTCCAGGTTTCTGAAGGTACCAACTGAGATCAGCACCAATATTTGAACTCCCTGTGGCGCTGATGGTCACGGTCCCACCAAGACTGACAGACTTGGCTTTATCAGTCTGAGTCAGAAAGTTATTGGCAAATGACTCTGAAATGAAGAAATAAAACAAAAACTTTAACAATATCTTTTGACTTTCAAATAGTAAACATCAGTGAGGCATTTTAAACTCTCAAACTCAATGTACACAGAAAGAGCAGATAACATGTCACCAAACATAAAATTTGTTTTATATGTCAGAAATGTTTTCAAAACTCTCACCCTGACTCAGAAAGCCTAACAAAAGAACCACCAACATTGGAAACACCATCCTGACTCAGTTTTCAGTGGAAGTGCGTGAGAGCATGTGTGACAGCAGAACTTAAACTGTGAGGAGCAGTGATGCATGAAAGTGTGCAAAACACACTGTAGGAGGAAACCACCCACCTCTCCCAATGAAACAGAAAACACAGAGGTCATGTGAGGAGAGGATCATTCAACCTCTCCATTATATTTGTGTCATTAACAGGGCCCATATTAGTTGGTCGCCAGATACTGGTTGGTTCATTTTGCTCATTCTGACAAACCAAATCTATATTTAAATGCAAATACATGAACATCAATTAAAAGGAAGGTATATTAAACTGGTGTAATATTATCTTTTTTCTATGTGCTGAAAGATGTTCGGTTCTACACAACTCATGACAGCATAAATCTATGAAAACCCAACAGGTTTGAGCTGATTTCTTTACAGGTACCTGTGCTGACTGTACAGCTCGGAGAGACGGTATCTCCTTGTTTTATAGACATTGATAATTGTGTGTCAGAATCAGAGCTATAGGTTAGCTGTCAGTCCAGTAAAATATTTAAAATATATATTTTTAAAGATGGTTTTTTTTATCATCGCATAATAAAAACTTTTTTTCAAAAATGTTTTTTTCTGGGATGATAATATGGGATATATAGCAAATATTCAAATTACAGCATGGGTCAGTCAACACACCTGCACCTGGAGAGTCTGCATGGGAAATTATACCCCTCTGTTTATATGAAAACAAATAGTGCCCTCTTGTGTCATAAAAAGAGAATACACATAAAATTAAATCCACCAAATTGATACAAAAAGCAAACTGGACATCGGAGCGACTCTGAAAGAGACACAAAATTACAGGAGTGACTGTAAAAAATATGCCCTGCCTCTTTCTAGTGATCTATATTAAAAAATAATAATAATTGCTATAATGATCTTTGTCGAGAGTTTGTGTTTCTTTGCAATTTTGCATTTACATACATTATTTTACAGTATTTTACATTGCTTAACATGACAATTTCCTTTTGGTGTTTTTTTTTCCACACCTCATATTTGTTTGTAGTGTATTGTAGTCATTTTGTCCTGTTTCATACCTCTTTTTATTGCATTCTTTTATGGTCATTTTTCACCTCCGAGTAGCCAAAAAATGTCACTTTGTTTGAAGTGTGACAGTCACTTAACAGTTTATCCATGCATCTCATTAATTGAGATCCAAATCTCTGAGGCCAAACTTTAACTACAATTTACATTATGTCTAAATTTTATTCAGTGCCAGAAATTATTCTTTTCAATCTCACATATTTCTTACTGGAACAGGTGTTCTGGTTAAAAAACACATAATGATGTATATTATTGTGTCCTAAGGATTTGTGAAACTTGTTGAGTAAATACATCAACAAGTTTCAGTGTTTGTAGTGATTGTCTAAAGTTTCTGGAAATTGAAACAGTCTTATTTGTTACTCCAGCCACCTAAAACAAATTTCATAATACTATGTGTCTAAGGGTTATCGTTATATTGTGATTTTTGAGTGCAGATTGCATAGTTCAGGAAACCAAAGATGAATTTTAAAAAAAAAGAATCTGAAAAAAAAAAACAGAAATCCTCTTTTGTTGTGTTCATTTTATATAATATTTTATATTTTATATAATAAAACAATCATGTGCATAGTAAGAGCTGTTCAAAATACCGAACATTACACAAAGTACAAAATATACAAAAGAAACCTGCAACATCTCCAATACCACCAGAGGGCTGAAACGCAGAACTTCAGAACATTTTTCTTCCAATTAAAAAAAATGAAAACGTTTCATTCACAAAAAAAAAAGACTACAAGCAAAAGACCTGAATATTCCTATAATTAATCTATGCACAAGATTAATAAGGAAGATCAAGATTCACTTATCTTTCATCATTACTGGGTGTCAGGCTTCTCTATTCCTTACAACACTTTCACTTTTCCCTTGCTGTCTAACTTAACTCTGTATTCATCACTCTGCTCCAGTCATTTTCTTGTCCCCCTTCTGCCAACCAGTCAGCCTCTGTCTGATGATCATTAAATCTCACTGCTTTTCTGTCATTCTGCCTTTGAGACTCTCATTGTTACTTCCTGCCTCTTCCACATCCCTACCTCAATCTGGCCAGATAGAGATCCTCCCACTTATCGCCACCTGCTTCATCTCCACCACCAGCGTCTAGACTCCAGGGGTCCTGTTCTACTTCCTGTTCTACATAGCACTATGGGGGCGTAATTGCTAAATAGCTGTATTTCAATAAATCATGTTCAGTTCCTTCAAAATGATGTCTCCTTATTAAGGTACATGTGATACTAAAGCACAGTGAGATAAATTTCACTAGTGATGTCTCAGTTTTACCTTAGTTAGCCATGAGTGTGACAACCATTATGCCAAGCATAAAGCAGTATAAACTGATATCTCAATATAAATACACAGAATCTGTAGTCAAAGGCAAGATAATCACTGAAATGCCATCTGCTGTGAAAAGTGCATATTTTCTCGATCATATCTCCTTGTACCTTGTACCAGCTAGAACACAATATGGCAGATTTCTTTCCTGCCATTAAAAGAATGTATAGTGTCACTGGACCATATTTACTAATAGTTGTATATACACAAATAGTGCATATATGAATGTTCCATCTGCCAATCTGTGATTTATCAATATTTTCATACCTGAATTTGTTTGTACTTCAGTTCATTAGTGGTCTTGGTAGTGCTCATTTTGAGTCTCTATATCTTTCTGAAACATTCACTAATGTTCATCTACTGGTTTTTGTATGATACATTGAATTCTATTAAATGTAAATGTATTGTCATGCACTGTAGCTTCTTGAATCCAAGATTATAAGCATTAGAATTAATGACTGAACTTTTATTTATGATAGAAAAAATATTGACATTTTGGATAATTCTATTAACTGGCAAAAGGATGAGGCACATGATCATGACAACTCCCACTAGGGCAGCGGTCCCCAATCTTTTTTGCGCCACGGACCGGTTTATGCCCGACAATATTTTCACGGACCGGCCTTTAAGGTGTCGCGGATAAATACAACAAAATAAAACTAGTACCGGTACCGAAAAAAAGAAAATTTATTCATAACACATGTGAAAAGACCAAGGAAAACCGAGTTAACGATAAAAACGATAACAAAATAACGCTGAAAACTGATAAAAACCCTGAAAATTTCACACCTGAGCCTTAACTCTCGCGGCCCAGTACCAAACAACTCACGGACCGGTACCAGTCCAAGCCCGGGGGTTGGGGACCGCTGCACTAAGGTGTAAATACCAGGGGCTTTCCATTTGGTTTTAGAACTGAAGAAGCTTCTTTGATGAGAGGAAACTTATCTTCAACAAACTTACAGAAGTCCAGTGACTTTCTTTCCAAGCTCCCAAGACATGAAATTGCACTGATTATTTTTTTATTTCAGGATCATTCTGTGAATTCAACCTTTGTGAAGCACGGAGATTTCAAGATCCTAGCAACACCCTTGCTTTATAGTTATACAACCAATTCACAGTTTGCGGTATAATTATCTCTGACACGTATACTGTGATTTCCCTGGGCTGTGTTTCAGGTCATGAAAGGTGACCAATTTTATTCACTTCATCAGTCATCTTTAACGGCTTGGCTGATTAGTTTCTAATTTCAGGTAAAGTCTAAAAAAACATATAGTTTGCAAGGTTTAATTTAGCTACGTTAACACATTTTAACTTTCCTAATATAATCCCATTCATTCACCAGAATGCATCACCCCAAATACGCCAAAAACAACTTGTTTCACAACTGTTTATTTATTCAAAACTCAAAAGATGAGTGTTCTGTAGATGTTTATATGGTCGATGAATGCGAGTTCCAGAGTAGATAACAGCCAGTTTGCAAAGTAAAAATAGCTAGGGAAGGACAAGGAGAGCTCCTTGTTTGATGACCAGTCAACTGGTCTTAGATCTCTAAATAATGACTTTCTCTGAGACACCTCTAAAACCCTGGGCAACCCTTTACAGCAAATTTAAAGTATAAACACAGCATGATTAGCAGTAAAACGTGTGAAAATGCCTCTGTTTTTAATTCAGCGTCAGGCTTCTTCATATTGTAGAGTTAAACCTTTAGATCTGCTACACTCGATAACCAAGTTTCCAGAATCCAGGTGCTTTTCCACCTTTACATTTTACACCTAAATAGACTGCAGTATGTCAGCCTAAAAAGATACAATGGCATTTAACCAGGATCGTGCGACATCCAAGAAAATCTGCACACAAAATACACATACAAAATATCACTCATTCACAGTCAATGTGTAACATTCTCATGCTCAGATATGTTGCTGATCAATAATGAATAATTGCAGAGCACTTATCATAAGTCTTGAGTCATTACACCAAAGAATTTCCTTCAGCATTTCTACATGCCATGGACCCACCGTCACAGAAACCAAAAGCTTGACTGAAGCACAAACCGATATGAGTAACACACATGGCCTCAGCTTTCAGTTCACGTACAGTAGGTCTGCACCAATTTTGCTACAGAAAGTTAAATGAAATATAAATAATAAATAATAAAGTGTTAATAAAAAGTCAGTTTTGTTACAGTTTTAGTAGCTCAAGGAGTGTCCTGATTGCACATGGGAGCAGTGTTGTTCTGTGCTCTAACAGTAGTATTAACAACGCACCAAAGGCAAATAAGTTACTCCATAAAGAGCAAAGACGTTGTTCCTTCGGTAATCAAAATGTCGGTAATATTTACAGACTTAAACTCAACTGTTCGCCTTAACAACCTCCATGCCAGCCAGCTCTCGGCTCTATTTTCTGCATTACTCATGCTGAAATAACTGGGATGTGTCATACATTACTGTTATTGTTACTGTGTAAATGGAGGCAGGGGGGAGCAGCAAATGATAATACGGAGATGTTGTGAAGAGTGTGTAGATGGCCAGAGAATGGAGGGGAAGGTTACCAAGAGATATGCAAATGAGAAAGAAAGGAAAACACAGACAGAAAGC